GGTTATATTTGAATTTTAGGCTTGACTATGTGCTTTCTCCATGTATAGCGGTTGCTTTTTCCAATGAGTTACTAAATTGCTTATTTGATTGGAATATTGCAAAAAATTATCCACATTGACTGTTGATAATTGTTCTACTAATGATGCTATAATTGACATCTTTATGACCAAGCTCAATCCTAATTATCTTTTATTAGATGGAAAATTGTTTCACATGTGTTGTTATGTACATATTTTGAATTTGATTGTCTAAAATGGGTTAAAGGTTATAAGTGATGGAATAGAAATAATTAGGGATAGTGTTGGCTTTTGGATAGCCACACCAAAAAGGAAACAAACTTTTACAGAAAATATGAGACATTTGCACATTGATTCTTCCAAAACATTAGTCCTTGATTGTAAGACTCGATAGAACTTCACATATTTAATGCTTAGTGTTGCTTTGATATATAATGATGTCTTTGATCATTTGTTGCAATGAGAGCTTTTATATACTATTGTAATAACTAGACAAGATTAGATGCTAGGTAAAGAGATTTGTGAAAGGTTAAAAGTATTTTATAATGCCATTAATGCATTTTTAGGGAAAAAAATCCGACATCCAATGTTTTTTATCCATTGATGTGTGAGATCAAACTTTCTTTAAACACTTAGACTTCATCTCCTATTGAAACTATTAGAAATATGGCCATAAGTATGTTATATAAGTTTGATACATATTAGGAGATAGTTCATTGAATTGTGGGAATGGCTATTGTCTTTGATCCAAGATATAAACTGAAGTTGTTGCAATATTTCTTTCCCTAAAATTATTGAACATCAACTGATTTTGAGATTTAAAGGATTAAAAACTTTTGTTATGACTAGTTGAATGAATATCAAAGGTCTTCAAGACCTAAAAATATGTATTATGGAGATGGAGTTTCATCTAATGTCTCACAGGTGAATAATCTTATCAATCATAACTTTTTTGATGGATATGACTCTTTTGTTAGCAATTAAAATGATTCATTAGCTAAATCTAAGTTAGATCATTACTTGGAAGAGAAAGTTTTGCCCAGAACTTCAAATTTTTGATATATTATTTTGGTGGAAAAGTGGTGAACTTTATTACCCAACTTTACAAAAGATTGCTAGGGATATCTTGGCTATTCTGATTTTCACAATAGTTTCAGAATCTACTTTTAGCACTTGTGGATTGATGAGTCCTCATCATAATAGGCTTCATACAACTACTTTAGAAGTTTTAATATGTGCACAAAATTGGTTGTTAAAAGATATAGAAATTATTAAATTCAATTGAAAAGAATTAATGATTTCATTATTTTATTATATTATGTATAACTTTAAATGATATATTTTTTTAGGTCTATCTTCAAAAGAAAATGATGGATACCGTGGCACTATTCTTGATGATTCTAAAATTTAAAAAGAGTTGCAATAGGTATTTATTACATACATTGATAAAAAAAAATTTTATGTATTAAGTTTAAATTAAATTGTTTAACACGATCATCATCATCATCATTATTATATTATTATTATTATTTTTATTATTATTATATTATTATTATTATTATTCATTATTATTATCTATTATGAATAAAATGTTTCTTTTTATTGATTTTCAATAGGTTTTTATGAAGTATTATGATCTATCAAGTGAAATCTTAGAAAAAACATATGAATTATTCATTGGCTAAACTTGTTTAAAATTTTTTTGAATTTCAGATCTAAATTGGTATTTGCATTAATGTTGTATCGTATTTTATTTAATATGTTTATTGTTAAGTTTTTACTTATTTTGAGGAATATTGAAATATTTAATTTTTTTAAAGAAATAGATACGTGGATTACCTATACCCGTTAAATACCTATGGTAATGAGGATGAAGATTAGGACAAATTATATAATTAGGGATGAAAATTGTTCTACTCTTGTTAAACTCGTTCCATTGATATTTCTATGTCAAAATTTCTAAGCTTGTGCTATAAATAGACCTAAATTCACAAAGCAAAAACACACAACAATCAAAGAGCAAATTAGAGGAAAACACCAGAAAACAAGAGAGCTTAAGCTGATTTCCCTTGCCATTGCTATTACCACCACAGCTCTATCACTAAATTTCAAGTCCTTTGCCATTGCCATCACCAACCACCCATCAGCAAATTCCTAGCAAAAACCATAATCTCCCAACCAAAACATAAACCAATTTTCAAACATCATCACCTAGAATTTGATTACACTTACACACTATCAGTAAAACACACAAAAGCAGCATTTAGCAATAACTTGGCAACTGCATTGAACTTCCAGCCAACAATCACAAAGTCATTTTACAACAAGCATTTTTAACAAATTTAACCTTTAATCACACACGACTAAGCCATTACACAAAACAAAAAAACCTAAGCCATAATTTTCATCCAAATCGAGCTTCATTTCAACCCAACCAATTCAAGAATACACAGGGAACAAATAAAGGGATTGAAAACTCGAATCAAGCTTAACCCAACAATTAGTGGCCAATTCATAGTTCATCAGTCACAACCATCTATAATCACCACCACAATAGACAAAAGCAATCAAACATTCACAATTACCTGACAACCAGCACAACAACTCGCTACCACTAAGACCAGAGTCATCGTTAACCTTTAACGACAACTATTGTTACCATCCAATAGTCCAAGTTCACAACTTGAGATTTACACAACCAAAATATATAAAAAAAAAAATAGTTCAACATAAAAAAAATAGAAAAGAAAGGGCTTTATCTATTAGGTTTTGTGTTCAAAGTGTCTTAAAAATATTTAAGGCCTTAAAATCGACAAAGAGAAAGATCGAAGGAAAGGAAAAACATTCTTAAATTTAAAGGTCATTGGAGCGGTGAAAAGGTGAGATAAAACCATAACTTCAAATTCAAATTGACAAAAATCTAGCAAGTTTTTGAAGAAACTAGTTCAAAAATGTAAAAAAAGAGGTCGAAGCAAAATTTCTAGTGAATTTTAAAACGAAACGGTAGTTAGAGCTCGACAGCTGATGGTGGAGTAAAGCTGTTAGCATAGGGATTATTCACTGGTTTCTTGGGAATATAAATATCTGAAGGCTGTGTTTTAGAGTTTTTAAAATTTTGGGTTTTGTATTTGAGAGAAAAAGAAAGAATTTGAAGGGATGAAGAAAGAAAAGCAAAATTTTTTTGGTTTTATACATGGACAAAAAACGATGTCATTTGAAGCTCCAAGGAATCAAATTCTTTAACCCATTTTAGTGGTTTGCGCCTCAACCTAATAAGGGTCTGACCCAATTAATGTTAGGTTGATTTTCAAACCATTAAACCAAGCCAATTCCGAGCTACTCTAGCCGGTTTTTGTTCTTACAATCGAGCTTCAAATCTAGCTAAACCGAGCCAACTCTTTTTTTAATTTTTTTTATTTACTTATTTTTAAAATAATTTTGGATGATTAAATAATTAGGAAAACTCATAGTAAGTTATTCTAATTTATAAATATATATAAATTAAGACTTCAATAAAATTTTGAAAATAAATTATAATTATTCGAAGATGAATTTCTTAGAAATTATAATTAGTTAACTTTTAGATAAGAAAATTTTTTAAATTTGACTCCAAATTGAGGAAAAATTTAGATAAAGTTTCAATTACAATTATTTTTATTTATTTTCAAATTACAAAAAAAAATAATTTTACTAAAGTGAGTTAACAACTATTTTATAATGAGATTTTTAAAAATTTCAAATGGTAAATTTCATAAAAAAATTTATAAGTAATGAATTTCTCTAAATTTAACCCCAATAGTGAAATAATTTAAACAAAAATTTTAATAAAAGTAATTCCATTCCCTTTCAAATATAATAATAATAATAATAATAATAATAATAATAGAACTTGTAAATTTGTTTGAAAATATATGATAATTATTTAACGATGAATTCCGAAGAAAAATCACAAATAGTTGAATTTCTATGAAATTGTTATGTGAAAGGTTTTTTTTTTAAATTCAACCTAAATAGTGAAAGAATTTGGATGAGATTTTGAGCAATAAATGGCATTTTATTTTTGTTATAAAAATAAAAAAATAAACAATGAATAAAATGTGACAATAAAAATCTAAATGAATGATTTACCAAAATAAAGAAATATTTTTACCAAAATAACGAGTAAATTTCGTGGATAAAATTCTTAATAATTGCAAATGAATGATTATCTAATGAATTTTTATATGAGAAAATATTTCTAATTTTAGTTCAAATCGTGGAAGAATTAGATATATTTTCAATAAAATAAAATTAAATAAAAATAAATAATTGATTAAGCTTTTTTCCTGTGACGGAGCTTCTAAGAAAACAAATGAAATTGTTGAATGCTTTTGAGATAAAGAAGTATTTTGAAAAATTCTGTTAGATCGATGAAAAAATCTTAAAAGTTGTATCTAATATTTGAATAGTAAAGTTTAATTAAAGACTATTAGAACCATAGATCCTTAAGATAATTTAAAATTAAATATTATCGTCCTTTAGATGGGCATATAAAGGTGCTATAAACTTTTCCATAGATAATTGAATTCCCAAATTATGTTCTGAAATGTAGACAAAAAACTTTTTTAGAAGCCTAGATTAAGTTTAGGATGAGTATAAAAAATAGATTAATTAGGTGACCATTCACATTTAATAAAAAATATTGATGCTGACTTCTTAAGTTATAATTAGCGATAGATCTACGAATCTATACGTTATGAGATATAAAAAAAAGTCTCTCTCTGAAAATTAAATGCTAAAATTACAAATACTAAAATTTAAAATTTAAAATTATTAAATATCATTTTTCAAAAAAGGATATGAATCAATTTTATTAAGTTATCAAGCCTTAAGTTCAATATAGGAGGGCATTTCTATAAATGATTTCAGAATGAACTCACAAAATTAACTATATTTGTATATGAACTCGAAACTTGTCTACTACACATCATAAAAGAATTCTAACTGAACAAAATAAAAAGAAAGCATGATTAATATGTCTCTAAATATTAATTCCCCATTGAATTGATTACAATAATGTGCTGTTGTACCAAATTTGGATTTGTAAAAAAATTCTTATTTACAGGAAATAGACTTGAATTTTTCATACTGGTTTGCACTATTGGGTAACCAATTTGTGGATTTGGAGAAAGAAAATTGGTGGCGGCGTCGTGCGTCCACCTAATTCTTGTGGATAAAACGAAGTTAATACCTTTTCTGATCTTTTCTAAGTAAGAAATATATGACATTATGATTATTAGGACCTCCAAATGAGAAAACAAGTTGCTAAATCTTTGAACATTGTAACAATATTTGTGTCCAAATCAATTCTTGTTTATGACTGGAAGAGTTATATATATCTTTGGACACTATTATAAGGATCTTCATTTTAGTCTAGATGTTTATAATAATGATTTGATGGGATTAAGCCTGACATAATTGTTTATTCTTCATTATTTATCTCTTGGTATGATGATTTTGTGATTTTTTATCAATAATATTTGCTCATCACGACTTTTGTCCATTTGCCCATAAAAATATCATGTTTTCTTTTTACGATTTGATGTTAGCTAATTAAAATTATAACAAATATGCAGCTGGACATATGAACCCAGCATTACAACAGGGAATGCAGGAGCAAGAGTTGGATGTAGTAAAGTATTAGTCAATAGTTTAGTGTTACCGCCACATGTCTATCTAATTGTAATGCTGAAAATGTGCCAAATGTTGTAGTATATAATGATTCATAAGCTTGTCATCATTGCTTCTCTTCTTCCTTAGCCCTTATAGATGCTGCACGCATGCACGTAGAATGATCTGATATTGGATTCATTGACTTTGAGCAGGTATCATTGGCCTTTAATCATCATACAGTCTGGTTTGTGGTTTCAAAGAGGGGGCTGCGATACTGCCCCACTCAAAAGGACTTAGCCAAGCCAAACCCTTTACCTGCAGCTTCTGTGTGCAACACCCCATAGGGCCCTCACCTGATGCAAAGACTTGGTGTTAGGCCACAATAAATTTTATACATGTAAATTAAAGATATAAATTTATATAATTATACAAATATTTAAATAAATAAAATTAATCCGTATATCAATCACAAACTTCTGCATTCAATACTTCTTTATTTACAATTTAATGGATAAACAAAAAAAGACTTGATACTAATACTTTTTGTGTATGTACCTAAAAATGAAAATTTATATGAAATTTCTATTATAATAAATTATCTTTCAAAACTCATGCATACTAATTACCATGAATTTAGTATGAGCATTTTTTTCACTGTGATTGTAACTACCATTCAACCATACTTGTGAAAATCATGGCCAAGGAAGTTAGTAAAAGCATTTAAAACAGCACAGAAGAGTCAATAAGAATTATAGATGCACTTATAATTTTAGGCCACAATACTCTAAGCTTGTTTGATTGGAAAGAAAAGACTTTTGAACCCGAAGAATGCTATAGTATAATTAACTTGCTGAATTATACAGAGGCATAAACTAAGAAATTACTTATTTTAATCAGTAATGATAAACAATTAGAAACAGAAGTGAAAAAACCAATAACCAAAATGCTTAGAGCAGAGAAAAGGAGAAGATGCATATAGCTCTAGCCTGGCTGTACATCTTTCATGCTTGCATTGCATTCTTTGCAGATGATATAACAAACACTTAAGAGCAAAAGCCACAATAAACAGCTTCAGACAGATGTGAAACTCCGTAACATTGCCAGGGATGGCAACAATAGTGGCATTGCAATATAGGTTCCCTAGGGAAAAAAACAAAAAAAAAAAAAACCAGAGGAGAGAAACAGAAGAAAAAAGAGCACCTGCAGGCTGAAAAATTCCAAATCAGCCTTCTTCCTGAATTTAGTAGGATACTTGCATGCTGCCTAATGCCTAATCAAGGAGTAAAATACTGCCTTCTATATGAAGTTCATATGATGGAATTAGGGACTGCGTAGATATTTATTACCAACCCCTACAGATTATAAAACTTGTTTGGATTTATTGCACCAATATTGGCTGGGAAGAAATCACTCTGTATTAGAACTTTGATAGTCTTCAAAGTTTCTGAACTACTGCACGAATATATTCACCCGTCGAATCACTACACATTAGATCCACTAGCATGGCTGCTACAGATGCATTTGCAGAAAATCCTTTGTTAACCATTTCATGAAGAATTTGTACTCCCCTTGATATGTCATTGTTTCGAAGAAATCCTGTAATCATCACATTATAAGAGCAACTATCCGGCATGCAACCATCCAATTCCATTTTACTAAACAGTTTGTATGCTTCATTCTGCAGCCCTTCTTTACAAATTCCTCTGATCATTATATTATATGTTTGAACATTAGGGTGTATCCCTTTGACTTTGAGAGCACAAAATAATTTCCTTGCAACTTTAAGTTGCCCAACTCGACACAAGCCATCAATTAAGATAGAATAATGGACAATGTTAGGATCTAACCCACTATTCTGCATTACATGAAAAAGTCCCAATGCCTCATGAATATGACCATGCTTGCATAAGCCATCCAATAAAGTAGAGTAAGTGATCACGTTTGGAACTAGGCCACGAGCACTCATTTCTTTGAAAAGTTCTTGTGCAAATGCAAGTCTCCCAACCTGTGACATGCCACCTATAAGAGTGCTGTAAGTAACAACATTAGGGATTAATCCATTTCGAGTCATTTCATGAAAAAGTTCCATTGCCTCATCAATCCTTTTAGCTTTACAATATCCATTGATAATGATGCTGTAACTAAATACATTAGGTACACAACCCTTGTTAGTTATTGAATTGAATAATTTTCTAGCCGCAGCCATTTCACCTTGCAAACAATATCCATCAAGCAATGAATTATAGGTAACTATATCAGGCTCAACACCTTGTTGAATCATTCTTTCAAAAATATTTTGAGCCTCTAAAACCTACCCTCTTTACAAAGGGCATCAA